CCATAGTTATTTATAATTTCTTAAATACTAAAATTGACAATGATATAAATTGAGTTCAAATAGAAACTTAAATAGAAAATTCTAGTTTCAGCAAAAACTTATCTTAAGTTAGGTCTCAGAATCTAACGAAAACCTTGAGGCTGTTGAAAAAAAAAAAAAAACATAGCCGATATATCGCTAAGCTAAGCACTCTCTCCCTAGAACCCTGTCAATTAGAGATACTAGCGGTGTCTAGCGGTGATGAATCGACCTGGATTCAATAAAATTATGAGGTTTATATATAGCTGAGTAATTTGGTAAACAAAAAATAATGTAGTTGATATACAACAGAATAATGATAGTAGGAATAGGCCTACAAACTCTCCCATCATAGTAAGAGCTGAGCTCGACTGATTGTGTTTTCCCTTTGAATGTCTGACTGGAAACTCCAGCCTTCTAAGATAATCTGAGCCTGCATATATCATAATATATGCGAGTGCAAAAGGGCTCTGATGAAAATATTTCGGGCAACTTAGGTGGCTTTGAATTTGTTCTGTTCCTGCTCACTCTTTGTTGACACATAATTATAGTGACTGTACAAATTTAAGCAAGATATACAAAATAAAATTTATTTAAAATTAGTATTTGAAATTAAAACAATACGCGGCACGTTGTAGTACTTTACAATAGTCAATTTCAATAATCCATTTAACAATAATCAATTGGTCAGTTACGAATTAGCTTGCTTATTCAGCTAACCAAGGATAATTTACCTAAAATTCTTACAGCGCACAGGATTCACTGGAGTAAAAAGTATCTCTCATCATCTCTCTGGGCACTCGATATCATCGCCAGTGTGAAACTCTGAGGCAGACCACAGTCTCCAGCTAATCGATCAGTTAAGCCATTTGGAATTTCGACTAGCCCATACCGAGCCACGCCCACGTCCAACGTCACAACGGTCAAGACAATCGATCCGAGCATAATCGCCTTTCGCTGCCCGAGTTGAAAAAGCGAACGGCAGCCATAGAGCGTTGATGAATGAGCGATTTATCAATCCATCCGAGCTGAAACAAGAGGCATTCACTTGAAAGTGACTGCTAAAGCTGCTGCAACTTTAATAGACGAGGAAACTTTCACTTCGCTTCGCAACTTGCAACGGTGATGGATCACCCGCACTTTGTAGAGCCGTCACAATATGTTGTCACGCGGCTCTGCGTCTTAGCACTGTACATCGTCCCTATAATGTGCTTGAACGTTTTCTTTTTGCTGCTCCTGCTGCTGCTGCTTGACTTTGCTGCTCCTGCGTCCTGATGCAGTCGTTGTGGCAACATGCTCGAAAATCCTTCCCTAACAAGCCGTATTAAAAAGTTCCGAGTACGAATGCAAAATGCACACAAACACACGTACACACATGCACACACGTGCATACACATACATACACACAGGCATATGCATATATCACAGTGCGCTGGCAAAGATTGAGAGAATAGTGGCGTGCGATGTGGACCTGGGGCTGGCTGGATGGGCTTCTCTAGCGCCCGAGACATCTTATTACGTTGTTTTATGGGCTACTAAGAAATCAAGCATCCCGAGCCACTGACCCGCCCGGCCACGCCAGCCACCAGCCGCCAGAGACTGAGAGTGTGTGGTGGGCCCAGTGCCCAGTGGCAGATCTTGTCCAGCTGCAGCGTGGACCCTCTTGGCCAGCAAAAAAGATTAATGACTTTTATAAAATTTATTATTGCACTTGCCGCCACAATGACGTCGCTGCATTACCTAGTTGCCCCTTGGCGTACCAACGCAGTTCCACCGCCGCTCTCCACTCTCCACTCTCCATTCGCCGCCGCCTCCTTGGCCGCGTCCTGCTGCTTGACATTTGAAAATCGTTGGGAATTTTCAATAGGGCTATAAATTTGCCGTTGCTCCAGCTGCTGGCTACCCCTTCAAGTAGCTCACTTATTGCGCAATTGCCAGTGCACTGTGTCACACACACACACACACACACACGCGCGCACGCATTCACATACATACACATTCAGTCCTTCAATCTGACATTCAAATTCTGCTCGGCTTGCCATGGGCAGGCAGCACGTTTCAGCTCAGCTCTCAGCTGTATCTTGGCTTAATTAAAACCAAGATGTTTTACAGTCTTCATCTATTCTGATTTGGCTCGAAAAGAAAACTCAATTGCATTCCACTGGAGCTTATATAGGGTGTTTTTTTGTTTATTAAAATGTACGGCTTGAATCCAAATAGTTTATATAATGAAGTTAATTTGTAAAATTAATGGAATGGGATTTATTGGACACAAATTCGCTGTTGCTTTGACAGTTTGTGGATTATCACTCGAAGGGGGCCTATGCTGATGGGTCTCTCTGCATTTAACCAAAAATAGACCATCTTGGATAACGAAATGTTTCAATTTCTGTGCAAATCTATTCATAATGGAATGCCAAAGCAAACTCAACAAAAATCAATCATCAGCAAAACATAAACAAGATCTAACATCTATATCCATCTACATGTTAACCAAGATACATTAAAACTAAGAGCAAGAAGAAGAACAATAGGCAAGATTGTTAATATTCAGTTAGGTAGACAAACAGTTCCACAGTTGGCCATATTCAGGTCTATCCAATTCGTTCTTCCATTCACATTCGCAGTCCACCAATATGCCCACTTTGCCCATTGCCACGGCACACAACTAGTTCCGGAACAATTTCGCATGTTTCGCATATATGAACACAACGCTGAGTGTTGGCCAATGGCACTGTTTTAGCCAAATTCTTGATTGCCGTGCTTGGTCTAGGTGTGGTCAAGCGCTCGATTTCGTATATATGCAACAACGGCAATGTTTGATTTTGATTTTTCCCATTTTCTTTTTCTATCTTTTTGGTTTAAAATTCGAGTGCCTTTGTTGCTCTCCCAGTTGGGAGTTTCGGGCATCGATCTATTTCTGGGCAGCCGTAACTCGGTATCAGCTATCTGCTGTGCTCTCCATTGTGTTGCATTAAGTGGCTGGTTGTTGGTCTAGTTGGTCTATGTATAGGCTATACACACAACAGCACACACACACACACACACAGAGAATAACACTCACATGTATTTATATAGCGCTTCGGTTGGTGTTTTGGGCTGTGGCAAAGGTTCAACGATTTTTAGTTAAAAATCATTCGAGTGGATGAACAATATTTATTGGTTTCCAAGCGCCAGGCTCCATGCTTCATGTGACTATTTATATATATATATTTGAGTGTATATAAGTGTGTGTGTATTTGTKTTTGGCTGTCTATAGTCCAAACTTCCGGCTTGGTAGTGTCAACGTACAAAACAACTAACAGCGCTGCAAACAAAAATAAATTAAAATTGGAATGTTCGTTGTATATTATAATCCTTAAGCCTTGCTCTGATAGATATACATATGTATGAGTATAGATTTGTATATAAAATTGTGTCAGTTTGTTCACCACAATTGGCGATTGGAATGGCAAATGTTATTCCAATTAGACTTGCTCTCTTTCGCATTGAGCTCTCACAGAATAACAATTTCTAATTGCTTCTCTTCGTTCACTGCCAATCATCGCGAGCCTATGCGAATGGCCTCCATAGCCGTCGTTCTCCCACTCAACAGCTGTCGGGATTGCGTTCAGCAACAGCTATAGTTGTCTCTTTCACGCTAACGGTGTGACAATTAAATAGTGGACACGAATCAGAAATGGGAAGCATTTAGCTAAGACGCAAACTCACTCGGATAAAATTTTTACGACAACTCAAGACAACTCAGCTCAGACTGACACTAATACTAACGCACTGAAAAAAGATTCTGCTAATAACAGACTGCTATGAATAAAACATGTACGTTGAGCTCTTTAAAATAGCAGTGCGACTGAGCATAACATACGGAACAAACTTAATAAGTGGCTTAGTAACTCAATGTTAACATCTTAGTTAATGAGTATATATGTATTGTAATCTAATATGCATATGTGAGCTACATATCGATGAATACAAATAATCTATCGAATAAGATCTGCTGTAGTAGTAAGAATATAGTAATGAAAGTATTAAGAATATTATAACTAAATACAGTTAACAAAGTCAATAGGAAATTAAATCAATAATATATTTTATTAAAAATTATAAAATTAATTTTAAGTTAAATAATAATTATCTCACACAAGTTAAATACTAATTGAAGTCTCAACTGACTGAAAAATAGGAGGAGGAGGATTATCTTTTCATTGTAATAAAAACGAATCAATTTGTGTTGTTGATCCAAGGGAGCCCCATCATATTATATATGTATGTACACAATGAATCTGATCGCCAGGTCGAATAGTATTCCAATAAAGCTGAAAAAAACGAATCAATTAATCGATTATTCTCCATAAAACAGCTATCGGGTGAGTTATCGACAATAATCAAAACGCAGAGAGGGGGAGAGACCTTGAAAGGGTAATATCCTTGAGGGGCCGGTGACCTTGAGGAGGCGGTGTGCTTGAGGGGGTGGTGATCTTGAGGGGGCGGTGTCCTTGAGGGGGCGGTGGCCTTGAACGGGCGGTGGCCTTGACCTTGTCAGTGACCTTGATTCTACATGTCTTTCCATAGGGGGCGTGGCAAACCGCAAAAGTGTATATCTCCTACAGTTCAAATTTGGATAGATGATAGATTTGGATTGTGCAGTTAGGTTACCGTTAGCTCTTTCTTAGAACTGGCCAAAAATGAGGTGGCTACGCCTAGTAGGGGCATGGAAAATCGGGAAAACTGCATTTTCTACAGTATTAAAGCTAAATTAGCTACTAGATTGTTGATGGGATGTGAATGAGTATTCTGCAGTTGGTAAGGCCCAACTGCAACGTTCTCACTTGTTATATATGGATACGTATATACATATATATATCTATCAATTATTGTGCATTGTATAGTTGCTTGATTCATTGAAAAATTGTTGAGGCTTTGCAGCAGGTGTGGCTCAAACAGATTCGACCGTCGCATTGCTTATGTTCTTTGATGGCTTATTCGATATCCGTGCTGATGACGGCGTCGATTGCGACAATGAGGCAACTCGGCGCATTCCACACAAATGCTTCAAATAAAAACATAGCAAAAAAAAAAAAAAGAAAAACTTATTTAAGTCCATCAGAGAGGTAATTTCAATGATTCCGTGTGGGCGTTGTGGATTTTCCTTTGGCTGCTCGTTTGCCATTTGGGCAATGCAATGTCGGCTTTGTGGCTGCGCGCTTTTTTTCCACTCTCTTTCTCTCTCTTCTTCTTCTGCTCGCAACGGCCTATTCACTGTGCGAGTGTGTGTATATGTGTGTGTGTGTGTGTGTGTGAGTGAAACGGGGTAAGGCTTGGGGGTGGGCAGCTGTTTTATGGCTTCCGTCGGCGTCAACGACAACGGATTGAAGCTAGCAGCACTATATAAAAACGCCAGCTCCAACCATATATACACACCCAACCCACCCACACACCCACCCACACACGCATACATAAAAAAGCAAAAACAACATACTACAAAGTTCAATCGAGTCAGTCAACAATTGGCACACCCGAACACACACACACACACACACACACACACAAATGGAACACACACAAAAAGTGTCTGCATGCTGTTGTTGTTGTTGTTGTTGTTTTTTATTTCGGTATAACCAAAGTCAATTGGGTGTCTGTCTCTCTCACTCTCTTCCCCTCTCTCCCTCACTCTATTTGTATCTGATTGAGAGCTGTGCGCCGTGTTGGTTACGGCGTGTGCCGGAGAGAGGTGGAGCGGGAGTAGGGGGCTCTTTGCCAGCTGGCTGAGTATGGAGGTTAAATTTTTGGTCGGCTTAGTGCTTAAATACATTTGATTGTAATTCGCTTTTAAATTCGATTCGTTGCGATTTTGTTGCGATTTGTTGTTGGACTTAATGGTGCGACATCTGAGCTTCTTTCGGTCCGGGGCAGCGCTCGATTCGCCGCTACATTACGGATTTCGGGCTACAGTTCGGGATCGGGACACGGATGCGTATCGGGGCCATCGCATATACATACATATATTTTTCTCTTTCTTTTCCTTTCTCTTTTTTTCGGGGACTGCTGTGCGTTTATGTGATTAATGCGGGTCACC